AAAAAAAAAAAAATGCTAGGAAAACATTCATGGGACGGGTGTCTCACGAGGAAAATAAAGAGTCATGAATTTGCTGAAAAATCTTAGACGCCAGATGACAAATTAGAAACGTATTCTGTCGGTCGCTGCGCTTTAAGCTCCCACGCCATTTCCCAAGTGTGGTTTTCACACACGGTAACACGGGCGTGTTTCTGTTGTGTTACTGCCTTTTGGCAGATAAACTAACGTACTATCCGTGTTGTTTTTGGATGCGACCGAACGTGGCCAGGGTACAACGGGGGAGAATGATGCTCACGGCGATAGCCAGAAGCAGGACGGATGTACCCGCGGATTCAGGTGGGTGAAAAAAGTGACACAAAACGGAGCTCGGGATCCGTCCCCAAACATCCACGCAGGGGCCACCGGACCCAGGATCCGTCATACTAAGTTACGGTCCGGGACTGAAGTAAATTTGGCCCGGTCAGAAAAACGAACGGCCGCGATCATCCAAATCACGAAACCCACCACGACTTGAGTGCCGCACGCTCCCCGTCAGTGCGCCCAGCAGGGACACGTCGTCCTGGCCGAGGCACAGGAAGAGGGGCGCTGGATTAGAGACTGCCAGACTTCAAAACAAAAAGAAAACAAAATACTGCTGTTCTGGAAACAAACCCGGGTCTGCTTTCCGTCTCTAGTGCGCTGGCAGATAAAAGCGGGCCAGGAGGCGCCCTCCCGCTCAGCGTCCGCGGCACCCGCTTTGCTGGCCACGCAGACTTACGTCGGTGATGGTGTTCAGGGCGGTGTCCGCACCGATGCTGAAATCGGAGCCCGGCACGTTGTTGGACACCGTGGCGGGGACCATGACCATGGGGACACAGAGCTCCTCGTAATTCTCCCGGGCAGCTGACAGTTCCAGCAGTCCCAGGTAGGCCTGTCAGGCATGCGGTTGTGGGGAAGGAGGGAGGGGAGCAGAGGGGCCGTTAAAAAACACCAGAGGGCGTTCGCGTCACCGGGGACCAGCAATTCTGTGAGCGCAAAGGAGCCCAGAGGTCAGCGTCACGCAGAAGAGACACGAGTCTCCTGTTCGCAAGGGTCTCATTACTTGAGGCCCTCACGTTTTCTTTAAGGCAAACGGAAAGCTTATCGGTCGAACGAAAGAGACGTGAAGGTCTGCGGTCCGACGCGCGATCAGAAATGACGCGGCCACGTGACTGCCCTGCTCCCTGACGGCCATCAGGCCTCGGATTCGAGAGACGCCGTCATTTCTGCAGACTGCAGATGTGTGAGGCTCACCGACAAGGTGCATCCCCGTGGGGGGCCCAGCTTTGGCTCCCCAATCCAGCTGCTCCGTGGGAGCCGGGGAAGCGTCCCACGGCAGCACGACTACCCAGTGGCAGCTGGGCCCGGGGGACCACCCCCCACCCCGCCCTGTGCTTGCCGCAAGCCTCCCCCCCAACCGACGGCCCTGCAGGTGCACAGAGACAAGGACGTACCTCAAATCCACCAATGATCAACAGCGCGTTGATGCTGTGGGTCCGCATCTGCTCGGCGATCGCCTCCAGGGACTTCCCGGGCAGCGTCCTACAAACAGTGCAGTCACACGTGAGGCCAGACGGACCTCGCGCAGCGGATGGACCCCGCCGGCACCCCCACCCCGCTCCCCGGGCCGGGCCCCGCAGCTGGACGGCAGAGCCGGGAAATCAAGTCTCCCGGGAGCGTTGTTTGAAAAAGGAGGAGAGGCGCCTGGGCGGCTCAGTCGGTTGGGCGTCCGACTTTGGCTCAGGTCGTGATCTCGCGGTCCGTGAGTTTAAGCCCCGCGTCGGGCTCTGTGCTGACAGCT